ATTCAAGTTTTGTGCAAAAACGCATGATCGCACCGGCTCGCCTGGTGCGTTCCAGCCTACGTTTTTCAATAGGTGGAAACGAATCATCTGTTGGCAATCCAACCGAGAATAGCGCTATTTGCTACCACCCCAACGTGGTCAACGTTTATACCACGTGCTTACTTGGACGTTTGGATTGGAGTTTTCTACCCTTTCATTTTTTTCTCGCCACTCATGCATCTGGCAACTTCTCATTCTCTCCTATTTTGAGAGTCTCTTTCAAATAGCAATTCAAGTTTCATATCACATGCTTATCAAATTTCCATTATCCAAACGGCACTTTTTCCAATTTTAACTTCGTAAAAACCATATTGTCAGTTTGAGTATTTCAGGCTAATCTGGGAGTAATGTTGGGTGTGTATTTACCAACAATACAGCACATCCTTGGTGTGACAATGTTTATCAGACTAGCCTGGGTTGTTGGAATTGCGGGTATCAGAGACACAATGCTTCTGCTCCTTCTCTGTTGCTTATGCGTGAGTTGCACGTTTTGCCATTTCATCACCTGCTTTATTCTTACAAACACTCAGCAGCTGGGCAAGGCATAATATCTAACTTGCTGACAACTGGAAAGCTGAAGAAAACCCTCAAAGGCATCTGAAAAGGCAAAATTCGTAAGTAGTGCTGACAGCACAGAAGGCATTAAAACCCCGATCTAGAAATATATCTCGGCAATATCAATAACTCTGGATTTCCATGCTGACTATCCTAATAGTTCCGTCGACCTCAGCTGTAAATTGCAATCCCACTCCAAAACACTTTTTTAAATGAACTGCACGAAGATGGTGAATCTGGGGCAGTATTACATACCTCAAGATGGAGATTAATTTGCAGACGCTGCTAACAAGCATTTCGCTCTCAGCTGTCGCCACAAACGGAGTAGTTGAGAGCGGTGGAGCATATTTTATGATATCACGCAATTTGGGAGCTGAATTTGGCAGTGCTGTTGGCATACTGTTCTATTTAGCGAATACTGTAGCTGCATCGATGTATTTGGTTGGCGGAGTTGAGGTTATGCTGGTGAGCACATTTCATGCACTTATGCTTTCCATGATTGCTATTCTGCTTATACGAAGAAAACGAGCCGCTTTTCCACGTTCCAAGGAATGTTACCGAATCATTTGTGTTGGACGAAGCCTGGAAAAAGCAAAGTTGAAACTCCCAAAAAATCATCCTCTACAGGAGAAAGTCAATCAGAAGTTGCTCGAATAGTCGGAATAAAGTTGCTAAAATCAGTCATCAGCACGAAAATTGGAATAAGAGGCAGAAAAATACTGGGATGGCTGGAAACTGGAGCATGGGCCAAAACAGATAGACCTGAAACTCATTATGCGTTTTTGCCGCAGGCAGCAAAAACGCATATTGCAACGACCCTGTCAGTGTGTGTGTGTGTGTGTGTGTGTG